CAATTTACCATGCTTTTCAACCCCATAATTTTTATTTGGCTCTTTATTTATAACTTATCTTTTTAATTTTTTTCTTTCATTTTATTTTAAAGGCATAGAAATAGAGACATACAGAGAGATATTTCCCATCCACTGGTCACTCCCCAAATGACCACAACAGCTGGGGCTGTGGTTGGGCCAGGCCAATGCTGGGAGCTGGAAGCTTAGTTTTGGTTTCCCACATGGATGGTAGGGACACAACTACTTAATCCACCACATATTCTTTCTGAGAATGTGTATTAGCTGGAAGCTAGAATCACGAGTGGTACCAGGACTTGAGTCTAAGCACTCTCATATGGGATGTGGCTGTCCCAAGTAGCATCTTAAGCCTTGTACCAAGTGCCTGCCCCTTTGCTTTACAATTTTTATCTCTTTTTTTTTTTAAACTTTTATTTAATGCATATAATTTTCCAAAGTACGACTTATGGATTACAATGGCTTCCCCCCCATACCGTCCCTCCACCCACAACCCTCCCCTTTCCCACTCCCTCTCCCCTTCCATTCACATCAAGATTCATTTTCGATTATCTTAATATACAGAAGATCAGCTTAGTATACATTAAGTATGGATTTCAACAGTTTGTTCCCACACAGAAACATAAAGTGAAAAATAATAGATGATTTTTTTTAAATGATGATGAAATCAGAGCAGACCTATTGTCATGTTTAATCCCAGTGAGAGTCAAGTTGGGAATTGATAATTTCTTTTTTTTTTTTTTTTTTTACAGAGGATCAGTTTAGTATGCATTAAGTAAGGATTTCAACAGTTTGCACCCCCATAGAAACACAAGGTGAAATATATTGTTTGAGTACTCGTTATAGCATTAAATCTCAATGTACAGCACATTAAGGATAGAGATCCTACATGAGGAGTAAGTGCACAGTGACTCATGTTGTTGACTTTACCAATTGACACTCCTGTCTATGGCATCAGTAATCTCCCTATGCTCCAGTCATGAGTTTCCAAGGCTATGGAAGCCCTCTGAGTTCTCCGACTCTTATCTTGTTTAGACAAGGTCATAGTCAAAGTGGAGGTTCTCTCCTCCCTTCAGAGAAAGGTACCTCCTTCTTTGATGACCTGTTCTTTACAATTTTTATCTCTTTTTTTGTCTAATTTTTTGTTTGATTGTTCTTATACTTTCCTTTAATTCTTTAGTAAATAAAACTAGTTTCTTTTATTATTTGAACATATTTTGTCTAGTAAGTCCAATATCAGGGTTTCCTCAGGGACAGTTTGTTTCTACTGAAACTGAAATTTCTTTTAAACATGAGCCATCCTTTATTTCCTTGCATCTCTCACAAATTTTTGTTGAAAATTTGACATTTTAAGGAATATAATGTAGCAGTTCTGAAAATTAGCTTCCTACCCTTAGGGTTTGGTGTTACTGCTGCCTGTTGTAGTGGTTGCTGTTACTTTATTTAGTAACTTTTCTGAATTAATTTTTTAAAAATATTTCATTTATTTGTAAGGCAGAGCTGGCGGGGGGTGGGGTGGGGGATCTTCCCTTTGCTGTTCACTCCCCAAATGGCCACAATGGCCAGATGCTGGCATTGCAAGTGGAGGCTTAATTGTGCCACATTGCTGGCTCCTTGAATTTAATTCTATCAAGTCTTTATAATTTGTCATGTGTGGTCACTAAAGCTGTGATTGAAGAGAGAATTCCTTAAATATTTGGAATCAATAAATCTCCCAGTTTTTGCTAAGGAGCTCTGTGTACATGATGAATATGTGTTCTTTCAGTACTCAGCTGGGCAGTTTATAGCTCTGCCTTAGCATGCACTTCCTGCTTGTGCAGAATCTCTGGAATTGCCAGTGCTAAGAAGTTAGAGTCTTTTCATGTCTTTCTGAGTCATTCTCGCAGCTCTACACATGTGTACAACCTCCCAAATTCTCAGGATTATATCCAATGGTCTTCCAATTTTCTAAGGATATATTGGAGTGTTTCAAAGTTATTACATACTTTAAAAAAAACAATTATCTGAAAATCAGAGTTACAGAGAAAGAGGGAGAAAAATAGAGATCTTCCATCCCCTGGTTCACTCATCAGATGGCCTCAATGGCCAGGGCTGGGCCAGGCTAAAACCAAGGAACCAGTTGCTTCTTCCAGGTCTCCCACATGAGTAGCAGGGGCCAAAGCACTTGGGCCATTTTCCACTGCTTTTCCCAGGCCATTAGCAGAGAGCTGGATCAAAAATGGAGCAGTCAGGACATGAACTGGTGCCCATATAGGATGCCAGCGTCATGAGTGATAGCTTTATCCACTGTGCCACAATATTGGCCCCTATTTATGAATATCAGTTTTTCATGTTAAGCTTTTTGATTAGACTAATTTTTTTGGCCCAACTATTCTCCATTTCCTCACACAGTTGCTATGATAAAACACTTGTCTGTAATTTTCTTCCAAAAACAATCTCTGGGGAGAGGCTTTTACCACTGGAGAACACTCAGGTAAATAAAGACACAGCTCTCAAGTGAGGTCTTCCAGGGAACCATCAGCCAGGGACTGACAGCTTCTCACTAGGAATGAGGCTCTGATACAGTTCCAGCTTCATCTGCTGTCTCTCATACTGGGCAAGTGGGCTACTGTTCAAGGCCGCCACTGAGCTTGACAATGAGGAATCATCTAGTGCAAGTTAAAATCACACAAGTCTCACTCTTCTTACAGAAATCCAGTCATTGTTCTTGAATAAGTGCTCTTGGGTTGCTACAAGGCTTTGGTTACATTTCCAAAGTTCTGAAAAAACTGACCATTTCTGTCATTTTTTTATTGTTACTTTTATGGAGGGATGAATTTTCAGATTTCCTCACCCCACTGTTGTCACTTATGTCACCTACAACATGATTTTAAATCTCTAGTTTCAATGACTATGAAGTAAATAAAATATTTAACCATGGGAAATAATTAGGCAAGAGGTATAAAAAGAGAAACTAATTTTTGTAGAGGGTCTCCTGGATAAATTTTTATGAAGTTCGCATTGTATTTCTATATTGAGTCCTCTAAAATCAAGATTAAAGTAACAAATATTTTCCTCATACAGGTTAGACAAATACTTTGGAAGTAGAATGGAGTTTAAATTCCAGCTTTACCTTTCTTTTAAAAGTGTATTTTTATGTATTTGAAAAACAGAGTAAGAGAGACCGAGGAGAGATCTTACATCCACAGGTTCACTTCCAACACACCTGCAAGAGCCAGCACTGGGCCAGGCCAAAGTCAGGGGCCAGGAACTCCATCCAAGTCTCCCAGGTGCTTGGCAGGAACCAAAATACTTCAGCATTTGCAGGAAGCTGGATAAGAAGCAGGGAAGAACTCAATCCGTGACACTCTTATTTAGGATGCAGCCATTCCAAGCGATAGCTTAACCCATTGCACCACAATGCCAACCCCCGGCTTTTCTTTTTAATAATTTGGAGAACTAGAACAAGCTATATAACCTCTCTGTGCCTCAGTTTCCTCGTTTATAAAATCAGGTAATATCTGTCACATAAGGTTACTGTGAGGATTAAATGTAAAATGCTGATCACAGATGACGGCAGCTCAATAGATAATAGCTATGTGAATTATTTTTTAACTAATGATTCTTGAATTAAACTAAAAGATTTTCTTTTCTTTCTCCCCATTTCTTTGTTTTTCTTGCTTGCTTTAAAGAACTAAAAAGGAAAATCTATTCCAGCATTTTGGAATGAAATTTGCATTAAAATGAATTTATTCATTTTATGGATATATAAACAAAATGTTTTTTATTCAGCCAACATCTATTAAATACCTAGTAAATGTCAGGCATTACACCAGGCATTATGATAACAATGACAGTAGTGTGGTTCCCGCCTTCAAGGGGCTGATGAGCCAGGAGACTGACAGCAAACAGGTGATGACATGAATGTAACAAAGGCTGTGGAAGTATGGCTTTCACCAATTCCTCCTCCAAGATTTGTCCCTTTCTTTGGCTCTAGAGCCAAGTAATGGGTACTGTTTTTTTGTTAACTGGATGAATTAAGCCATGAATTGTTTTAAATTTCTGAAGAGGAGGCCGGTGCCGCGGCTCAATAGGTTAATCCTCCACCTAGCGGCGCCGGTTGCCCCTCTTCCAGGCCAGCTCTCTGCTATGGCCAGGGAGTGCAGTGGAGGATGGCCCAAGTCCTTGGGCCCTGCACCCCATGGGAGACCAGGAGAAGCACCTGGCTCCTGCCTTCGGATCAGCGCGGTGTGCCGGCCGCAGCGCACCAGCTGTGGTGGCCATTGGAGGGTGAACCAACGGCAAAGGGAAGACCTTTCTCTCTGTCTCTCTCTCTCACTATCCACTCTGCCTGTCCAAAAAAAAAAAAAAAAAAAAAAAATTCTGAAGAGGAAAGGCAAGCACTTGAATTATGGAGAACACTAGGATTCGTGTTTCCTACAGAGCAAGAGCATTGTACCACTGTAATCACTTTATGGTTTTGTTATTTTTAGGGGCAAAGAGAAAAAAAGACAGAGTTCCCTTCTACCAATTCACTCCCCAAAAGCTGGGAACCTGAAACTCAATTCAGGTCTCTGACAGACAGCAAGGAACCAACCACTTGAGCCAACACCATTTCCCTTAGTGTCTGCATCAGCAGGAATCTGCAATCAGCAGTCAGAACTGGGAATGAAATCCTAGCACTTGATGTTAGACACAGTGTCCCAACTGGTCCCTTAACTTGCTAGGCCAGACACCCACCCCATTAGGTTTCTGATCTGAGTCTTTGGAGTATTTTTTCTTTACTGTCCATACTTCTGTTTTTGTTTTCTTTTTCTTCTGTATCTTCTAGAGACCTAGGTAGTTCCCAAAGGAAGAATGCATACGGATTCTAAGGCTGATTTATAGGTAAAGACAGAAAGTGATTTTTTTAAATCTACAAGTTTCATACCAAAAATTATAAAATTTTCATGTAGTTTTGTGCATAATTAAAAGGCAGATTATTTTAATTCCATTGTGTTTTTCAGAAATCTCAATCATAATCCTCTAACAACTGTTGAAGATTCCTACCTGTTTAAATTACCAGCATTAAAATATCTGTAAGTATTAAAATAACCTCATGAGTCATAAAATGATTTCAACGCTTTACTTTCAAAAGGATTAATTGTTTTATATTGAGGTTAAAAAGTAATAATTTTCATTTTAACTAGGTTATTGACAAAAAAAGTTACTGGCCAAGAATATGGAATGGACAAGAATATGTAAGAAAGAAATATGTACTGGGCAAGACAGCAGTGATGCCAAGTACATTTAGATATGGAACATGTGGCTATACACAGGATACCATTTACCCCAGAAAGTAGAGATATAGTTGTACATCATTTTAAAAAGAAAAAAACTTAAGTAATCAAGAGAGGTGAATGAAATATGAAAATGAAAAGTAAGATAATGGCAAAAAGTTTAGGTTCTATGCTTCAATGCCAAGGTCATTAATTTGATGATGTAAATAGTAAAATTTCTTCAATGAGAGCTTTCTGGAATTCTCTCCCATGACAAACTCTTGAGCAGGCTTGTTTTACAGAGAAGCCAAATTGATGTAAATACCTGTTCTTGAAATATACCTGTTTAAGGACAGAACTTTTATTGGGGTTCATATCATAAATATTTGGACTTTCTCCCACAGAGACATTGGAACAACACTTGTTTCACTTACCACAATTGAGAACATCCTTATGATGACTCTCGAACTGGAAAAATTGTAAGTTATTTTTCTTTTAGGTTTATTTTCATTAAGTTTTTTTAGATTGGCTATATTTTTTTTTCTTAAAGAGTAATTAATTTAGTTGAAAGGCAGAATGAAAGTGATGAAGGGAGACAGAGAATCTTCCTTCACTCTCCAAATGCTTGCGACAAGCCAGGGCTAGGCCAGGAAGAAACTAGGACCCTGGAATTCCATCCAGGTCTCCCATATGGGTGACAGAGACCCACTGCCTTCCTAGGCACTTTAGCAAGAAGCTGGATTGGAAGCAGAGGAGCCAGGACTCAAACTGGCATTGAAATATGGGACCCAGGGGTCCCAAGAAGAAGCTTAACGTACTGCACCCCAATGCCCACCTCATGTTTTATTATTTTCTTAAGTCAGACTTACTGAGGTATAATTTTCCTGTAATAAAATTCATACTTTTAAGTATACAAGTTCATGATGTTGACAAATCTGTAGTTATCTAACCACCACCAAATTCTCAATATAGACCATTTCTATCACCCCCAAAATGCCCCTCACATTCCTTCGCAGTCAATCCTCTCTTCTCATCCCCAGCACCTGCAAACCACCCATCTTGTTCCTATCCTTCGGTTTTGCCCTTTACCACAGTGTCTCGTAAGTGAAGTCATGCAGAGTATGTAGCCTTCTGTGTCTGGCTTCTTGTGCTTACCACATGCTTTTTATCCATGCTATTGCCTCCATCAGCAATGCTGCTACTGAGTAGCATTCCAGGTGTGTGGATTTACCAGTTTGTTCACTCATCCATTACTTTATGGACATCTGGGGGGTTTTCCCTTTTTTTTCTTTTTTGGCAATGACAAATAAAACTAGAAACACACACTGGAAGGTCTTTGTGTGAATATGTTTTTAATTTCTTTGGGGTAAGCTCTTAGGGGTGACATTGCTGCATCATCTACGTGCATATTTAACTGTTTAAGAAACTGCCAAACTGTTTCCTAAGGTGGCTGGGCCATTTTGCATTCTTACCAGCAGTCATGAAAGTTATAATTGCTCCATATCCTGACTTAATCCTTAACTTACAAGTTTTATAAAAACTTTAGGAGGTGGACATTATGAAATATTGGTTAAGAGACACCACTTGGTGGGGGGCACTGCTGGTGGTGTTGACATCTCATATGGCTCCAGTTCGAGTCCTGGCTGCTCCACTTCTAATCCAGCTCTCTACTGTGTGCTTGGGAAGGCAGCAGAAGACGGCCCAGTTGCTTGGGTTTCTGCCACCCACGTGGGAGACCTGGAAGAAGCTCCTACCGGCCTAGCTCCAGTCATTGTGGCTATTGGGGGTGTAAACCAGCAGATGGAAGATCTCTTTCTTTCTCTTCCTCTCTCTCTCTGTAACTCTGCCTTTCAAATCAAATAAACTAATCTTTAAAAAGAGAGAAAGAGAAAGAGATGCCACTTGGGACACCCACATCTAACACTAGAGTGCCTGGTTTGAGCCCAGCTCCTCCACTTTTGATCTAGCCTACTGCTAATACAAACCCTGGGAGGCAGCAGATAATGGCTCCAATATTTGGGTCCTTACCATCCATGTGGAAAACCTGAACTGAATTCTGGGTTCCTGGCTTAGGTCTGACCCATCCTTGACTGTTAGAGGCATTTGGGAAGTGAACCAGTGGATGGAAGATCTCTCCTCTCTGTCATTATGCCTTTCAAATAAATAAAAACAATAAATAAACTTAAAAAAATAACTTTAGTTTACCAGTAGGTATTTAGCGGTAGCTTATTTTTTCTGTAATTAAAAAAAAATGTTTGGGAGACAGAATGCAAGACAGATCTCAATTTATGTTTGCTCCTCAAATGCCTGTAATGGCCAGGATTTGGCAGAGGTTTAAGCTAGGAGCTGGGAGCTGAATCCAAGTCTACCACATAGATGGAAGAAATACAACTACTCAGCAGAAGGCAGGAGAAGGCATTAGCAGGAAGCTGGAATCAGGAGCCAGAGCTGAGGATCAAACCCAAGAACTTAGATGTGGAACTCAACTGTCCTGACAACCAGCATCTTAACCATTAGGTCAAAAACCTGCCCACTCACTGTGGTTTAATTTGCATTTCTTTAATAATTGGCAGTGTTCAGCAGACTCATAGAATGACAACCACTTTAAGTAATACTCTGACCTCAGAATCAGCCTTTAAGGCATCCTGGTCTGGCTGAAAAGCCCATGAGAGCATTTCAGGCATGGAAAGCCAAGACAGTGGCAAAAAATGTCCTACATGAAGGAGCTCTGTGAGACACTGGTGGAAAGAAGTGACCATTAAAGAAAGATGTTCTGGGGCCAGCACTGTGGTACAGCAGTTTAATGCCCTGGCCTGAAGCAGGTTAACACCTTGGCCAGCAGTTAATGCCGGCATCCCATGTGGGCGCTGCTTCGAGACCTGGCTGCTCCACTTCTGATCCAGTTCTCTGCTATGGCCTGGGAAATCAGCAGAAGATAGTCCAAGTCCTTGGGCCCTGGTGCCCGTGTGGGAGACCCGGAGGAGGCTCCTGGCTTCAGATCGGTGCAGCTCTGGCTGTTGCAGCCAATTGGGGAGTGAACCAGCAGATAGAAGACCTCTCTCTCTCTCTGCCTCTCTCTGTGTAACTCTGACTTTCAAATAAATAGATAAATCTGAAAGAAAGAAAGAAAGAAAGAAAGAAAGAAAGAAAGAAAGAAAGAAAGAAAGAAAGAGAGAGAGAGAAAGAGAGAGAGAAAGAGAGAGAGAAAAAGAAAGAGAAAGAGAGAGAAAGAGAGAGAAAGAAAGAAAGAGAAAGAGAGAGAGAAAGAAAGAGAGAAAGAGAAAGAGAGAGAGAAAGAGAGAGAGAGAGAAAGAAAGAGAGAGAGAGAAAGAAAGAGAAAGAGAGAAAGAGAGAGAAAGAGAGAGAAAGAGAAAGAAAGAGAGAGAGAAAGAAAGAGAGAAAGAGAAAGAGAGAAAGAAAGAAAGAGAGAGAGAAAGAAAGAGAGAAAGAAAAAGAGAGAGAGAAAGAAAAAGAGAGAAAGAAAGAAAGAAAAAGAAAAGAAAAGGAAAGACAGACAGACATACAGAAAGATGTCCTTTTCTCTGAAGGGAGGAGAGAAGTTCCACTTTGCTTATGGCCTTGTCTAAATACTGATTATTTTGTGGATTCAAAAGGCTTCCATAACTTAGGCAGCTCATGCCAAGAGCCTAAAGAGTTACTGTGCACTAACTTCCCATGCAGGACCTCTGTCCTCAATGAGTTGTTATGTGATTTAACTGTAAAACTTGTTCTCAGTTTTGTGTGTATGTGTGTGGGTGTGTATGTGTGCAAATTGTTAAAATCTTTATTTAGCATAGAGTTGGTCCTCTGTGTATAAAGTTAATTGAAAATGAATCTTAATGGAGAATAGGACTGGGAATGGGAGAGTGAGGAGGAGGAAGGGTAGGAGTGTAGGTGGGAAGGCGGGTATGGTGGGAAGAATCACTATATTCCCAAAGTTGTACTGTTAGACCGGACTTGGATCGGACTCAATATAACCAAATGAGAGACTTGGTGATGCAAAAGCAAAGAGGTTTATTGTTCTAGCTCGAGCTAGGGCTCACACCTCCAACCATCGCAGCAGCCTTCTGACGAGGACCCCCTCCTGTTTCCTTTGTGGGGTTTATATAGGGTTTTCAGAGACATTCCATACATTATAGCACCATGCAGCAAATCATCTCATTCTGCAGGAAGTTCAAAGAACATCTCTCTCTCTCTCTTTTTTTTTTTTTTTTGGACAGGCAGAGTTAGACAGTGAGAGAGAGAGAGAGACACAGAGAGAAAGGTCTTCCTTTTTCTGTTGGTTCACCCCCCAAATGGCTGCCATGGCTGGCGCACTGCACCAATCTGAAGCCAGCAGCCAGGTGCTTCCTCCTGGCCTCCCAAGCGGGTGCAGGGCCCAAGGACTTGGGCCATCCTCCACTGCCTTCCTGGGCCACAGCAGAGAGCTGGACTGGAAGAGGAGCAACCGGGATTGGCTAAAGTATAGGGTCTGAGCCACTAGGGTGTACGTGCCAAACTGCAGGGTTTTGGGATATTATCAATCACCTTAACTGCCTGAAAAAACACCTTGGAACTTTAGGTATTTCCATGCTATCTGCTGATTGGCTGTTACTAGGGGAGTTTATCGCAAGGGGAGTGTTTTTTGTTTTGTTTTGTTTTGTTTTGTTTTGTTTTGTTTTGTTTTGTTTTTCAGGAGCTTTTGTCTTAGGGTTCAGGGCCTGGTCAGGCCCGAGTTACAAGATGCAGGCCTAGTCTAAAATAGCTGCGCCTTGATCCAGGCTCAGCTTCTTCAGTACTTATTTTATTATTATTATTATTTTTTTTTTTTTTTTGACAGGCAGAGTGGATAGTGAGAGAGACAGAGAAAAAGGTCTTCCTTTGCCATTGGTTCACCCTCCAATGGCCGCTGCGGCTGGTGTGCTGCAGCTGGCGCACCACGCTGATCCGATGGCAGGAGCCAGGTGCTTCTCCTGGTCTCCTATGGGGTGCAGGGCCCAAGTACTTGGGCCATCCTCCACTGCACTCCCTGGCCATAGCAGAGAGCTGGCCTGGAAGAGGGGCAACTGGGACAGAATCCGGTGCCCCGACCGGACTAGAACCCCGTGTGCCGGCGCTGCTAGGCGGAGGATTAGCCTAGTGAGCTGCGGCGCCAGCTTCTTCAGTACTTATGAAATCTGTATTCCTTAAATAAAAGGTTTCTTTGGAAAAAAATTAATGAATAAAATCATAACCATAAAAAAATTGGTGGTGTTGAATGTCCATTCATGTACAATATCTTTTTGAAGTATCTGTTCAAATCTGTTCCCATATATTAATTTTATATCAATTTTTTAAAGATTTATTTATTTGAAAGGCAGAATTGGAGAGGCAGAGGCAGAGAGAGACAAATATTCCATCCGCTGGTTCACTCCCTAAATGGCTGCAATGGCCAGAGCTGGGCCGATCTGAAGCCAGGAGCCAGGAGCTTTCTCCAGGTCTCCCATGCGGGTACAGGGAC